TGTAAAACTCTTATTTACTTATTTAATATTATAATTAATTAATTTGTATAGAATAAATGAAATTTCTTTTATTTTATCTTTATTTTATTTTGTTTTTAATAAAAATTATTTTTAATTTTGAAAAATTATATTTATTTAATAATTAAATGTATAAAATTGCAATCAAATTACGTATATAATTTAATGTTTATATGTTAAAATGCAACCAAAAATAACTTATACAATATACTGATTAGACGTAAAAAATTTAACCAAAAATAACGTATACAATATACTGATTAGACGTAAAAAATGCAACCAAAAATAATGTATACAATATACTGTTTAGACGTAAAAATCCAATCAAAAATAACGTATACAATATACTGTTTAGACATAAAAAATACAACCAAAAATAATGTATACAATATACTGTTTAGACGTAAAAATCCAATCAAAAATAACATATACAATATACTGTTTAGACATAAAAAATGCAACCAAAAATAATGTATACAATATACTGTTTAGACATAAAAATCCAATCAAAAATAATGTATACAATATACTAATTAGATGTAAAAAATGCAACCAAAAATGATGTATACAATATACTGATTAGACGTAAAAAAATGCAACCAAAAATGATGTATACAATATACTGATTAGACGTAAAAAAATGCAACCAAAAATAATGTATACAATATACTGATTAGAAATAAAAATCCAACCAAAATTACCGTATACAATATACTGATTAAACATAAATTCTGTATTTTTTTGCATACAGAAAAGAACGATTTTCAGTATCTAATATACGGAAATATTTACAATATATTATAAAATCTTACCAAAAATAACGTATATAATATACTGATTTGACGTATAAAATTTAACAAAAATTACGTATACATTATACTGATTAGACATATAAATTCAGTATTTTTTTGCATACGAAAAAAGACAATTTTCAGTATCTAGTATAAGGAAATATTTACGAATTTATTATACTGTTTATCTACATTTATTATATGTTTTTAAACATATTATTTCCATATACTTTCCTTATATATATTATTTATAGGATATGTTACTTTACAATATGACATTTTCTTTAATTATAATAATTGAATTAATATATCTGATAATTTAATTGATCTATTTAATAAAAAAGTATTAAAATATTATGTATATACCTTAAAAATGCGATTTTAATTAAAGTTGATATAAAATATAATATTAAATATACTTTCGAATTATTGCTTAAATATAATTGGACGGATTGATGCTTAATTTAATTGGTCAATTATTAGCCAATCATATGAATTTCTTCCTATGTACCTTAACTGCTTAGCTTAGTAGCACGTCTGACATCAGTCCTGAATTAGCCATATCTTTCCCTCGTCTTTATGAAACAATGGTTTATGAATTTACATTTAGATTATTATACGATCTATGTTTACTATTTGGATCACAAATATTATTTTTTGCATTTGGATGGGTTTATTTAGTAAAAAAACTATTTAAAGATTATGAATCGTCTATTGACAGACATGATGTTCAATTCGTTCAAGCAATATTTTCACTTACCTTCAGTACAAGCTGTGCCTTGTTCGAATTAATCATTTTTGAGATTATGGACATTATGCATAAAGAGTAAATTCTCTTATAATTAAAAAGAAAAAAAGATATACATGATTTTTTTTAATGCAAAAACCTTGTTTTAACATTTATGAAATATAAATTTTTAGTTCACGATACATATGTTGGAAAATAACTCTCTACGTGTCACTTTTCCTTGTAATAATATTGATCCCAGCTTACCAATTATATCTTATAATGACAAATATACGAAAGAGTTTGCCTCGAAGATATTCTATAATCATAGCAGTTGTATGTTGGTCAACATATTTTTATGGATTTTGGAAAGTCGGAGATTTCTTCCCAATTAAAAACACAGAAAAAAGTAAGTTATCCAATTAAATTTTTAATAATTTAGATAAATCAATAATTTAACTGATTTGATAGAATCAATACCCGATGATGCATTTATACAATTTGGAATGAGTCGCGTAGGAGTACTTGGTGTTACTATAATGGCAATATTGTCAGGATTTGGAGCGGTAAACAGTCCTTATGCCACGTTATTTTTCTTTTTAAGGCAAGTTAAGGACGCAGACATTCAAGCGGCCGAAAAAAAATATCTTCATAATTTGGATATAATATTAAGTAAGAAGAGACGTATATTAATATCACAAGTTCGACAAAGAACTACAAACGAACAAAGTTCAAGAGTTGGCGGATTTATGCGTAAAATGTTTAATACCATGGCAAATGGAATTGGAATGGGTAGTGAAAGTATTAGCATGTTACGACAAGAAATCACAGGACTTGAGAATCTTAGTCGACAATTATTTTTAGATATCGAAGATTTATATCAAGAAAGAGATCGGATACTTTATTCAAAAACATGGCAAGGAAAATATTTTAATTTCATGGGCTATATTTTCTCGATTTATTGTATTTATAAGATTGTAATGGCAATTGTCAATATTGTTCTTTTTCGTGTTGGAAAGACTGATCCAATTACATATGGGTTAACATTAACGATTGCCTATTTTAATATCAAAGAAATAGAAATTGATACTGATTTTTGGTATCAACAATTAAGCTTTTTTACGGTTGGACTTATGATATTTTTTTCCATTCGAGGATTATTAATTCAATTCCTAAAATTTTTCAGAGCAGTTTCAAATTCCGTATCAAGAAATAACATTGTTTTATTTCTTGCACAAATTATGGGAATGTATTTTCTTAGTTCTGTATTGATGTTAAGAATGTCATTACCAGAAGTATATAGGAATAAAATTACAATGTTATTTAAATCAGTTGATGTAGCATTTTATCATAGATGGTTTGATGTGATATTTCTTGTTAGTGGAATAGCAAGTATGATCTTCTTATATTTTGTACATCAAGCAAATAATAACAATGTTATGTTAATCAGCACCACCACTTCATCTATAATGACACCTTCTGGATCATCAACACCATCAAGTTCACCTGGATTTTCTTCAAATGGAAGTTTGACGATAAATTCTAATTCTCCCATTTCACCTGGGGAATGGGAATATGCGGGTGGTACTGCTGGTGGCGGAGTTGGAAAATGGTCTTCAAGCAATAATTTATATCATCGGGGCTAATTAATTAAAGGTTCAAATACTTTATAATCTAATTCCAATAAAATCTGAATATCTTTTTCTATGTTAACATTATTTTGTTCACATGCCAATTTTAATAGTTGACATATGTTACGAAGTGATTTCTTTAACGGCTCGTTATTAAAATTAAAACGTATCAATTGATTCCATGAAGTTGCTGTAGACTTCAATATGAGTCCTTTGTATTGTGATATCCTGTGTGTGGGGGGGGGGGGGGGGGAATATTTCAAAAAAAAAATTTCAAGAAAAAAAAAAGGTACTCCGTACAAATAATACATACCTAGGCCAACATACACCGATAATCTTTTCTATTCCTTTTGCTGCTTCCAAATGTAATTCTAACATTTGTTCTTTGTTGGTAAATTCAAAAGGGAATTCTAAGGAATCGCATATCACATGTATTAATTCTTGTATGTATTTAACTGTAACGATTCCTAATTCTTCAGCAAGTTTAGGAATTTGTTGTAATAATATAATGCGAATCACAATCTTATCTCCTGAAAAAATGAAACCTTTTACTACATTATTAGATAAAATTTGTTCATATTTAATATATCGAGTTTCAGAGTTTGTCTTTTCAGTTAAAGAAATCAATGAAATTATGGCCGAAAAGCTTTGACGTAATAAAGAAACATGCGATGTTTCACTTTGATAAGTTAAACATTTGCTCAAAGCCTCGTGAAAAACATCACCCAATCCTGTTTGATGTATAGTATCTTGTTTTAATTTTTTTAATAGATGATCCAATATGGAGACACCTCGTGTCTTGAAATCTACATTATAATCATCAATAAGTGATAATGTTGGAGGGATAATAAGTCCGATAGTTTTCTCAATTTCTGAATTCTTAAATCAATATTTATTAGTTATTAGATATCAATTCTCTCTTACATTTTAATTAAGTAATTTAAAATATACACGTACTTTTAAATGTAAAATACACCAAAGTAAAAGGTTAGAACATTGTGCTACCTCTCCTCTCCATGATTCATTCGCACTATCAAAATCAACTGTTTTTCTTTTTGATTTTCCATTTCTTCTTTTATCGACATTTACAGGATATTTCATAAACGTTGGTTTTACGTATTTTTCAAGTATTTTTGGTACAAATGTTTGGATCATATGCGTGACAGTTGGAAACCGATCTGGTTGTATGGTAATCAACAATTCGATCGTCGCTTTTTTTTTGTAAAAAAAAAAAATCAGGTTACAAATTATTTTAAAAATTTACAAAATCGAAAGTAAACTACCAATTGCATTTTTATTTAAATTAGGATTTGTCCATAATTCTTCTCCTATAAAGTTTGCACATGTTACAATTATTTGCATTAAATCATCATCATCTAATTTGTTATCTGAATCGGAAGTAGTCTTGATCAATTTCTGTAATTCTTCAAATGTCGGTTCTGCTTGAATGTAAAAGGCATTCGCAATTCTCGATATGTCGGTATCTTTGATATTAAATAAAATATATTGAGTTTTAATTCCCTCTTAAAGGCAAATGATAAAAATATTAAATCACCTATTGTATATCCTGAATAAACGGGAAGTCGTAATCTCTCACAAAATTTGTCCACTTCATTTTTAAGACCGGACATAATTTTTTGATTAAAAGGAAATCTTCTGAGGGTTGTTTAATCTAGACTCGGAAAGTTTCTACAAATTCTGGTATTTTGCCTTATTTGATTGGATTTCAATAGCTAAATGATCCATTGGGATCCAAATGGCGCAGTATGCATGTTGGTCAATGCAAACAAAAATAAATGACTCGAGTTTGAGTCGAGTCGAGTCAAAAATTTTTCGACTCGATCAGTTGACTCACGTGAATTGATGATACACGAGTTACCATTTTTGGATATTTGTGTAACAATGATCCTTATGGTGTTGAATAGAACACACGTAAACTTGTAGTTAAAATAAACTTTGGTAAGAGTATTGTTTGTATTAAATGTAGCTTCAAAATTTTATTCTAAAGTTGGTTGTAAATTATCGTTATTTATTTTTGACAGATAATTTGTTAATTTCTTTTTATATCATTAAATGAATTTTATGCATTGGCGGTAAATAATTTGTATATATTTACATAAAAAAGGTAACGGTAATAGATGTGAATTATATATTTGAACAAAATAACGAAATCTAGCATATATATTATTATACAAGCCACTTAGATTGAGATGGACTAAGTTATAGTGGTCCTTTAAACGTATAGTTTTAACAAGCACAAACTACGTGACAAGGCCTTCTGTTTTTGTTATTATAAATCACAAAAAAAGATTGTTTATGGAAAAGAAATGTGGACTTGAACCAGAAAAATGGTTCTCTGTGAATATGAAAATATAAAAATCGAAGGCGTCAATCCTTATCCCCATCAATGGGGACATATCACGTGATCGATAATGAAAAGTGAACAAAAATAAAATGGTGATACGAATATGGTTACACGAAGTTCATTTTCATATGAAATCCATAATGCGCTGCGATTGATATAAAGCAGACATAATTTGTATTATCGCAGCAGAAAATGGGCCCCTATTCCAGAACATCTTCGAGAATTTTGGTCTGATTGAGTAAACTCGAAACTTTAAATGCGTTTTTTTCGTAACGGACTTTTTTTGCATGTCATAATATTTAGGGGAAAAAATATCAGGTTTCAGATAATTCCGAAAAATCTTAAGGAATTAGGAGTTATAATGCTTTAGAACAATATTATTTTTATTATAATCGTAGAACAAAATGCATTGCCATTTACTCGAATAACGTGCAATTTTTGATCCATTTGGCCTATATACCATTTATAAAATATTTTTTTACATGCTTCGTCGCTCCTCTAATTTCCATCCCTAATAATTCGGTTCTTACGTAAATGAATATTTTCCATATGCTTCATCAAAAGGTAACCGCTGTTGAAATTCTGAGAACAATACGGGCAGGTATGATTTAGATTTTCAACTCCTAAAATCGGAGGTCTTGGAGGTTCCTGTAATTGAATCACAAAAATATATGAATGAATCTACAGCATAGAAATAATCAAAAGAAATAACGACTCACTTTCGACATTGCGTCTTTTATACTCCAAACCTCTAGCGTAAATTCTGGCAAAATATCACCTCCATCTAAGTCTCCCCATTTGCGGTGATGACGGAAGACTTCGCGTTTGGAGTTTCGTTTATAGACCCAGATCTCATCGTTGATAGGATCAATCAGCCAACCGAGCTCAACAGACGTTCTTGCATCAAAGTAAGTATCTTTAAACTTGGAATCGAGTTCCTTGAATTTTGGGCTATCTCCATATTTTACGTCAGCGACCTCCACGACAAACGTAGGACTGAATGCTGGGCCTCGAAAGGAGGTACCTTGCACCTCAGTGAGACTGCGATAAATTTCTTCTGGAGTAAAGGCGACATCTGGTGCTCGAATCTCTCCCGTTTCGAGTCGAAAGCCTCCCTGCGAGGAAGTCACGTTACCGTTCTGCCCAGTCTGGATGTTCCATCTATCGAGTTGTCCCACAATATTTGCGACAGCAGATTCCTTGAAAATTGGTGTTTGTGTCATGGGAACGAGCTTGCTAGATTTATCAAGTTCGAAGTGACTGATTGGAACGATTTTCCCTTCGATTTCGATTTCCAAGGAACGATTTTTGAGCTGATCGTTTATAATTTCAAACTCTTCAAGAGTGTAAGTACGATCTAGATCCAAATGATCCAAGTCCAAATAATCCGTCTCTTTTACTGACGGAATGGGAACGAGCTTGCCAAGTTTATCAAGTTCGAAGTGATTGATGATTTTCCCTTCGATTTTCGAGGAACGTGTTTTGAGCTGATTGCTTATAATTTCAAACTCTTTAAGAGTGTAAGTGCGATCTAGGTCCAAATGATCCAAGTCCAAATAATCCGTCTTCCTTGCAATTTTCTTACTCCTATCAATACCTACAGTTCTACTCACTGAAGAAAATCTGCCGTTCTTGGACATGATTCTTTACCAAAAATTAGAAGATAAAGATCAGTTTGATAATAAATAATACTAATTTATTTCCTTATTGTTTGTTTGATCAATCACCAATAGGATATCGAGCATTAAGCTACTGTGGTCAGAATTAAGGGTTGCTTTTTTAAAGTCACGTCACTTATTACGTCATATAAATTTATACGTCACGTCATGTTACGTCACGTCGCAATCATATGACTTAAAGCACCCCTAATCAGAATAATCGTTGACGATCCAATAAAATAAAAAATCACATCTATCACTTTGCTTTGAATAAATACAGCTTTTCACATGATTTAAAGAGATAACTTTATTATTTTTTTCATTGATATACATTTACTATTAATATAAAAAAAAAATGTAATTAATATATTTGCATAGTGAACTTTATTAATATATACGAATTTAGCCAAGGGGTTTTTGCACATAACTAAAATTTATTTTCAGAGAATGTGAACCGATTTCACAACGTCACGTGAGTGGCGCAGTAATTACTTTTCGCAAACTTAACCAGTACATGGTCAATATCATTCGGACTTAATTTTGATATAGATGCTACCGTAAAAGATTTTATTCTTTGAATCCTATGCTTACCTATTTCGCTAAAGAGATCATAAATCTTTAGAGCCCATTCTTTTTTCTTCCGAAGTAGGTCATCACTAACTGAGTCTGGAAGCTGATTTCGAACTTCTTTATTTACCAATGCCTGAGCTGTTCGCTTAGGATTATTTTTCTTGTAATGATCATAACGATCCTCAAGTGCTTTTCCGAAATTATAATACGATTTGATGACATTTCGTTTTGCAATCTCTTCCTGCTCTTCCATATTAATGATTGTATTGTACAGATCAAAGAAACCCCCAGTTCCCTCTTCCATAACTTCAGAATCCTGAGATGTTTCAGAGGATAATTCTTCGATAAGTTTTTTTAGCGTACCCGATACTTTCTTCTCACCTGCCTTTTTCACTTTCTTGCTAGACGATTTTTCGGTTGATTCGCCTGAATCATTAGAGCGTTTCTGGGCGGTACTCGAAGCCTGTTCCACTGGAAACAATTCCATATCATCGGCTGAAGTACAGGTAGGGCATCTTTTGCGTAGATCGTTAATGCAATCTAAATGCACAGCATGTTTACAGGATAAAAATACGGTATCTTTCTGGAAATCTATGGAGATGACTTCGGAGCATTTTTCACATATAGGATATTGGATTTGACCGCTAGTATCCTTTGAAGAAATCGAGTCATCCAAATTTTCGGAATTGTTAGGGTTGGTTGCTTGGTTAGAAGTTTCTTTAGCGACCCCAGTAGTCTTGGACGATCTTTGCTCCCCACCTGATAATAGTACGTTCATGAGTGCTACATTACCATCGGGGTCCACGTCCATTGGAACTGATTGTCTTCCTTCTTCCGGTATGGCTGGTGAATTCAGGACAAACTTTTCACCGATCAAATTAGTTAAGGCCGAAGTCCCACTTGAATGAGATGATGCTTGCGAACCTCTCCTAATAGAATTTGGGTCCATAATAATATCGACAGTCTTCCCACAATCGGTGAATGGACATGTGCTGGGTTTGGTATGTAGAAGTTGCTTCTCAATGCACGATCTGTGAAAAATATGCCCGCAAGAGAGGATGGTGAGCGCCTTGATGGGTAATGACAAAATATTGGTCGTACATTCGGAACATGACCCTAGCTCCGGAATTTCTTTATCCCCGACCATATCATCCTCAAGATACTTCAAGATATTATAGGCAAGATTTCTATGATTAATAAGAGACGGTTTATAAGGTTTCGGAATCTTACTTTTTTCTCCACCACCACCACCAACATCATCATCATAATAAATTAGGTCGCCCAAGTCGTCGTGATCATTAGTAGTACTTGGGTTTCCACTCTCCTGATTTTCCATGGTAAAGTTTTCTGAAAAAAGACCGGAGGACAGGTCATTTAACTCGCTTTTATAGCGTCACAGGAGAAAACATTCCCCGGATTTTCACTAGTAATTACGCACTACATTTCGTCATTTGTTAATCCCTTGCAAATCTATAAAAAATTACGAAAGATTAGCGTATGTATCCCCAAATCTCATATGCGAAATAAGGATTGCCAAAAAAAATATCCATATCCGAATATTGTTTTATTGATATGATAATAGCGTGGCCGGAGACATGACATGCAAAAATAGATTCGAAAAAAAAAATAGCGAAATATATATGCGATTCGCACGTCGCACAGCCCCTATTCTTCGGCAAGAATTTTACCGATATCGTACTGCGCATTTTCAGGTGATCAGTCCACATGAGCTACCAATGCGAACAATAGTGGTAAAGGGATACTATTTTTCGATTGCCAACGCTGTCACAAAGGCGCAGTAATAAGTTGAACTTGCTTAATTCATATAGTAAACAAAATTTTCGAATTAATGAAAAATCATCTTTGCATTCTGAAACGAAATGCCTAAGATTTATTGCAATTTTACTAGGAAATTAAAACACATGATAAAATCTAAACTATTGAGAGAGTATAATTAAAACTTTGTATACTAATTATTCATTGATACCGGTTTTGCTATTTTTAACTGGAAGAAAGAAATTAAGTTAATACCAGAAATTTATACGCATATTGATAAATATTTTTTTGCATACACACATTGAGGTTTCTTGATATAATCATACACAATTCCATTTTTTACGAACCATCCCAATCGATCTTTCCCTTTAATTGTATACTTTGATGCTTCTTCAGGAGAATTTCCAAGTGGCCATAATAATAAATTTTCATCATCCCACAGAAATACACGACCATAACAATCTAGAAAGATTACTCCACAGTTAGTCTCTCCGATAATAATTATATGATCGAAGTAGAATTTAGCAATACATGTTATATAGTAAGTTAATTCTTTTGGGTCTTCATCAAGAATTTCAAACTTAAGCAAGGTTGCGATACGAGAGATATCTTCAAATTTATCAACTAACATGGATGTATCTCTGCAACGTGATGCTGTTCCATCTGTTTTTTCACATACTGGCACTTGAGACATGGATCCTTGATTCTTAATGATTGATGAACCTTCCTTGGTATAGCGAGAGTGCGCGTGTACAAGATGACACGTTTTTGAGGGGGTTGTGGGTTTCCACGCATCGCCTCCCAAGGAACCGATTCTGAGCAATTTCCCAAATCGTGACTGCAAAGCTTTAATTGTTCCTCGGTTAGGACACTGTCCACATCCGATGCCCACATTAACGTCTGCATGTTCTCTGTCCTCGACTCTATTATCTGTTCTCTCACTTCCGGATCGCAACGAATTGACGCACCCATCATGAATGGCACAACTATTCCCTTTCGTTTCGAAGTCTCTCTCGAGTACGTTATATTCACTGTTGATGGTCGCAACATTTGATCCAGTTGAATTGTTGTCAAACTTTCCGCCAACAGTTCCAAACTTCTCATCAAATAATTCACTTGCGCCTTTAGCGTCATCTTTCTTGAAGGACGGAAAGCGTGACTCCAGAGGAGAGCCCAGGTGTCGTAAACGGTGGTAAGCCATATCGGATGCAATTTGTGTATCGGATGAAATTCGTGTAAAGTTATCTTTTTTCCTTTCACTTCCTCCTTGTCGAAAGGTGTGATTATTTGGTTCGTTCTACACAAAATACGTTTTTTGAACTTGTTTTTGTACTCCCTCTTCTTACCTGAAAGGTTCTATGAATTCCGAGATCAACTCTTTCTGCCATGGCTCTTTTAAATTTTCCAGCCAACCGTATGGACTTAAGAGAGAACTGTATATAAGCTACAGGCAAATATAAAATGCTAAATTAGTGAAACAAACTAAACGTACTTTTCTTTGCTCCAAGTCACCATATATATAATCGTGTTACGGGAGATAACGGGATTAACACGTTGATCGATGATCAATATTTATCTTTTTGGTCTTATATGTCAAGGATTTACAAATGTGTGAGTCATAATTAAATATTTCTGTATTATGCAATCCACGTTTTAGACATTTATATTTTCTACTACTATAAGGTGGCGTTACTGGTATCGGGTGATAAATGCCCTATACTGCGCTGGGTGCAGATATTCCGATAAAAGTAGTTATTTTGATAGTATAATATCTTATTCTAGCATAAAGCACCTTACCTTATCTAAATTTGAAACTTATCAATAAATCTCATCGCAGGTGCACAAGCATTTTTTTATTATAATAATGGGTCTCTGGCTGGGTGATAGTCTCTCACGTGCCTGGACTATGCTACAATTGCGAACTTGAGTTTATTGCTTGAAGTGTTGCAGGTAAGACAATATTCCAACTTATCTTGAGAATAGAACTTCGCTAATTCAGGATCATAAGGGAGCTGATTCCCATTTTTGCAGTACCATGAGCCATGTAATCCATAATTCCCATGTTTTCCATCGCAAATAGGGCATGGCGAGTTCCATGGCTGAGCTAATGCAAAATTATAATTATCAATCCCCCTAAAACTATTTCGGAA